GTATATATACAGTATATACATAGCCTAATGTTTTGTCATAAAACTGAGTCATAATCCTCATTCTTGGTTCATTCAAGCCTAATGCAGCCATTTTAAATCAACAATAAATGTTAAATTTATGATTTAATGCAACATAATAAACAAATTTAAAAGATAAAGATAATAATATTGTTCTTTTACATAAAAAAAGAAAAAAATGTTCCTTTATCATCCCGCAGGGCGTCCTTCCGATCACAGACACAGCTTCTCTACCCTCTGTGCCACCACCTCCCCATAATGAAGCATTTCCCCCACCATTTGTCAGGCATTATCATCTTAATGTCTCTAATGCAAAATATTTAAATAAGTAGGAATTAAACTGTGTATAAGGACAGATGTAGTTTTTTTATTTGTTTGTTTGTGTTATTTTGCTTGTCAGTGGTGACTCAGAGATCCTGGTGAGTGGGGGGTACAACAGCAGAGCCAGGGGGTGGCCATTGGTGGCCTTGACCACCACATACTAATCTTCAGCCACCACAACGGACATCCCAATAGGTTCAGGAAATTATAGAGAATAATATCCTCAACTGATTGGGGTGGCTTTTATATATATACACTATATTGACAAAAGTATTTGCTCACCTGCCCTGACTCACATATGAGCTTAAGTGACATCCCATTCTTAATCCATAGGGTTCAATATGATGTTGGTCCATTCTTTGCAGCTAGAACAACTTCAACTCTTCTGAAGGCTGTCCACAAGGTTTAGGAGTGTTTATGGGGATTTCTGACCATTCCTCAAGAAGCACATTTGTGAGGTCACATACTGATGTTGGACAGAAGGCCTGGCTCTCAGTTTCTGCTCTAATTCATCCCAAAGGTGTTCTATCTGGTGAGGTCTGGACTCTGTGCAGGTCAGTCAAGTTCATCCTCACCAGACTCTGACATCCATGTCTTTATGGATCTTGCTTTGTGCACTGGTGCACAGTCATTTGGATGGGTGAGCAAAAACCTTTGGCAATATGGTGTATACCTTGAATTTAATGTGGCTACCCAATTTTTGATTGGGACCTTCCTTAGCCTAGATGCAGCCACACACCAAAAGGAAGGTTGGTACCTCTCTTATTTTTCAAGTTATTCTACTTTGAAGAAGGTCAAATGGAGGTTATTTCTTTTGCTTGGTGAAAGGGGGATGAAAGTGAAGCAAGAGAAAAGAAGAAAACATTTTGAAGTAGGAATGGATCGSTTACTGTTGCAGGTCTTCTGGTCGACGGTGAGTTCATATCCTGGACGGCAGCGACACTCGTAGCCATCAGGCAGGCTGACACAGATGTGTTTACAGCCATGATCCACCGAAGCACACCAGTCATCAGCTGCACAGAGACATGTGAAGATAGATATGTTGAAAAAGTCACCTGCAAACACTTGATTTGTGCACCTGTGGATAGAGACACGGAGGAACATCAGCCACAAATATTTAACTGTTCAGGACCTCACATTTGCTTCAAATGTTGGGATCAACTGTTGGAAATGTCTCATGGATCAGGCTGTTCTGTAAAACGTGCAGCTTGCAGAGGAGGAAACAGGATGAACTGGAAACTGAAACTGTAACTGGTTTAAAACAATGTTATCCTTTTTTAAAGAGCTCTTTCACCTTTGCAAGTCTTGCCATCARGGTTGAGGGTGAAACCTTTCCTGCACTTGCACCGGTACGAGGCRGGGCTGCTCACACAGATGTGCTGACACTGGTGGTCCACCACTTTGCACATGTCTGAACCTAAAACACCAACATTGACAGAAACTCAGGCTCAAGTTTGCAACAACACACAGACCAGAAACACGGGACGGTCTGAGGAACCGGTCACCTCCACAGAGTTTGGACTGGAACACAGAGATCAGAGTTTCTATCTGACTGAAGTTGGCCACCAGGTGGACGTGCTCGGAGTGCGGCTCACTGCCTATGGTCTTCAGGATCTTCATGTCCACCCTGCCCACTCCTATAGCAAAGATCTGGATGCCGGCCTGCCTGGCTTCAGCTGCGATCTCCTCCACCGTGTCCTGAGGTCTCCCGTCCGTCACGATCATGGCGATACGTGGAATGTGCAGGTTTATGGGCCGGGCCCCCTGCTCCTCAGTGAAGGCCACCTCCATGGTGTACTGGATGGCCAGACCAGTCATGGTCCCCGTGGCGAGGTGCGTCATGTTCTTCACAGCCTGCTCCACCTCAGCTCTGGAGGTGTAGGTGTTGAGGGAGAACTCAGACTGGACCACGCTGCCGTACTGGAGCAGACCAACCCGGGTTGCATTGTGGCCAATATCCAGAAACTGGAGCAGGTTGATGATGAAGGTCTTGACTTTCAGGTAGTCACTGGGGTGGATGCTCCTGGAGCTGTCGATGATGAAGACGAAGTCCAGCGGGGTGGCTTTACAAGGGTTCTCTGCGACCACGAAGAGGACTGGGATCAGTTCTGGTAAAGACTTACAGCAGAGTCTTGTCAGCACCGAGTCACTCACCCACAGCTTTGCTTTGACTCGTCGTGTGATTCTGTCCTCTGCCTGGGATCGGTCTGACACGGCGCCTGTCCAGACTCGCTGCACCACAGGACAACAGGCCGAGGAAGACCAGAACCACGAGTCTCATTCTGTCGAGAGAAGACATCTGCAACTGAGAGGCTGAGAAATGAGACGAGATACAATAAGACTCTGTGTCGAGTAAACAGGAAGACAAACTCYGACAGTTTACAAGTCTGAAAGAAAACTACCAACAACAAATCTGGTGATAAAAGGTGGAGATAGACATTAATGTTTTGTCTATGTGTGTCTGTTTGTTAGCAAAATATCTCATGAATCAGWGAACAGAAACTTTCAGCATGTATTCATTAGMTGATCTCAACAATCCAGTTCAGGACTGCTTCAGCAGCAGTCTGTGGAGACACAAAATGACTAAAACTCAGATGCTGACCTAAAGTTCGATGTGCTAGTAGCTGACACTCATCTTTAAGACATCATTTGAGAGCTAACACATCTGGCATGAGATCACTTATGACATCATTCACAAGRTTTAACAAACTGCTAAAATTCACTGCTCTCTTATAAGATGAACTTGGGTATAAATGATGCAATCAAGGAATGCTAGGTGTTTAATAGATATATCAAAGTGGGGGGTATTATGTATTTTCAGTCATGTAGTGTGTTACCTGCAGTTGTTACGAAAAAGCTGTATATATCAAAATAAATTAGACTTTGCATCACAGTCTAAACACCTTGAAATTGGCCTCTGTCTCTTTAAGAACCTCCTAACTTTTCTGACACTCCCACTTCACGTCTTTACAACAATGTTTCAGGGGAGGGGTGCTCTGTGGGGTGGGACCTCAGCTGCATACTGAGCTCCAGGGAGGAGCTTTGTACCAATAGGCGGAGCTTTGTACCAGCAAGTGTTTAGGTAGCTCCACATGACTACAGGAGATTCAAGGATTTATGAAACATGTATGAATGAGTCAAAGCAACATTCTGGGTGGATTTTGATGAGGGAATGACATAACATGATATAAAGCTCAAGTATTTGTGAGTCCCACATTAAAGMCACATTTTACTATCAAAAAGAGTCAACTAACTCTATCAATAAACGTTGCACCAGTGACCGAAAGTGACTTAAGAGAAGCTTAAAGTGACACACTGCTTCCCATTTCCAATAGTTCTCAGGACAGAATTCTCTGCCTGCAAAACCTTCTGCCTTTTGTAAAACAGATTCACAGTCAGTGTCAATTTACTTATTCTGAAAGACAGACTCAATCGTTTTATTACGAACTTCTCTGAAAAAAATCTTTCTGAACAAAGTTATGAACATTTACCTGAGAACAATAACAGCTCACACACAAACACACACACACACCCACACACACACACACACACACACACACACACACA